AGAAAGTGTCTCTCTACTACCGGGCAACTTTTTGCCTTTTCACTGATATCTAGGAAATATGTGTAATTATAGACTAGTAGAGTTTGAAAAACATCTTATGGGTTTTCCCAACAATATGTGAGATGACTCTGTGAACTGCAAATTAGACACCCAAAATTAAAATGTTATACGGCTGAAAAAGTACAAAGGTTGATTCATTTAGAATATAGTGTATAAAGTGTTTTTGAACAGCTTTATTTGTCCAGTCAGCCAGCCCGTAGCTGAATTTTCTGTTTGTTATCATGAAGATTATGTGTCTGAAATGTGTTTGTGATTTGTTCTCTTTTTTATTTGTTAAATCTCTGTTTTTCTTTTTTTGAAGAACTCCGTGGGATTCTTTTTTGTTTAATGCTTTAAAGTGGTTTGTGTAATGCAATTATTGTAAATTGCCCTCACACATAGATAGGTATACAGAGGGTGTAATGAGAGGATGAAACAATTATAATCATCATACTACCTTCAGATTGCTCAGTGATTGTATAGTTTGAATAAGGTCTTTATCTTTTTTTCCAGACCTGCATCAAAAATAATTTACTTACAGTTTACAGCTTTTATTTAGGATGTAAAAGATGTATAACTATGTGCTCATGATCTAATTCCTCCGGTCTAGTTTATTGAAGCACATACCTAAAGTGTTTTGTCATGTAGATACTATAAAACATTTAGAAAATCATCACAGGCAAATGTATGAACGTTCTTTAACATATACTTATCTCTGACTATGTGATTTCAGTCTCACTGCTAAACAAATTAAAACATTTTTCTATGATTATGTGTGATAACCATTCCACACCATGTAGTATCAAGAAACGGGATATATGGCCACACAATGATATTATAGAGATCAACGAGACATACTGACATTAAAAGCGAAAAACTAAACCTTTAAAAAAGAACCATCTCTGATATAATGTTGTAATTTTAAAGAAAATTTAACTTTTTTATTTATTTGGGCAGCAACGTGTGTCAATCACACATAATATACATAAAAAGAGTTATTAACAGTATTATATATACATACATACATTGAGTTAATGTCCTTAACAATATCAGGCCCTTGCTCATTCCCAGGAGGATCATCTTTACACCAAACTTTTCTTATAGCTTTACTTTTTGCTATTTATTTAACTTTTGTCTTGTGGAATCCCTTTAATGTTCTCCAGATACACAGCACTGTTGTTTGGAATAACATATCCCATAATGTCTTTTACGGTTGCATTTGATTTTTACCTCCCTGTTGGTCCAAATTCATGACGACCATTAGTGTTGCTCTAACAACAAAACATTATACATATATTTTAATCTTTCTTTTATTCTACTAAGGCATGCACCTTGACTTATTCTTTATGCAAGAAAAAGACAAAATGCAGTTGTGAGCAGCCCCAGAGCCTCTCTCTTTGATAAATAAACACTTCCTGGGCCTGAAACCTGGGTGTCTCGGCTGTTGTGCGACGGCTGAGTGCCAGAGCGGTTCCGTAGCTCTGCATATAGCACATACAGAACCCCGGACAGACAGCCAGCCATGCATGCATGGATGAACGGATGGATGGATGGAGTCACTGGGGAGACATGAAATGGAGGAATGGAGATGGGGGGGCGGTGCAGGAGTGGAGTAGCAGATGAAACAGAGAGAAAGATGAAGGTGTTAGTAAGAAAAGATAAGATAGAAGATAAAATGAAACAAGGAAGAGAATAAAGTGGGGAAGGGCTGGATGGATGGAGGGGGACCATGTGGGACACAGGACATGGGAGAGAGGGCTTGGGCGGTTTGTGTTTGGAGGCCGGGGCGGTGTGATGGCAGATATCTGCACAGCGCATGGTCATCTCAGATGGTTTATTTATCCAAGGCCTCCAGACCAGGCCTCGGACCTCCCTGAGTTTGTTAGGCTTGAAGGGGCCCCCTACCACACAACCCAATTCCTCACATTCCACATTAGCTGCCTGTTTCCCTCTACCACTCAACCCGACCCAACCCAGTCCAGGCAAACTATACCCAGTTCCAGCAAAGCGGAAAAACAGGCCGGCCAGTGCCACTCTAGAAATGTGAGCGGGTTATAAGGGCGTACGGTCACCTCCATTAGGACAGATGGATGAGTAAGTATATGTAGGTGTTTCATTTAACGGCTGCAGAGAGATGTGGTGTGGAGTCCAGGTCAATAGAAAGACTGATACAGTCAGTGGATATACCCTGTTTTATCAAGATATAACGAGATCTGAGGAGATTGCTCCATACCAACAGCAATGCTGGACTCCAGTTTGATCTCTTTTAGACATTTAAAACTGCATCTTCTGAATCTGTTGCTTTTTTTGTAACCAAAGATGTTAAAATGTCAGTTTCTGCCCACATTTACGTATTTAGTATGGTAGAATCACTGAAGAAGATGAAGATCTGAAATAAAGGTTCAAATAGGATCATAATGGTAAAAGCGAGTCACACTGGTATCTGACACTGAGGGAGCTTTTTCAATCTTTTTCAGTTTACGCATTGTGTGAAAGCCACCAGTGGTGACTTGTAGTCATCGCTCTTAACTATGATTTCAATAAAAAAAAATCATACTTCTGAAGCAAATGCAAACAAAACCATTTAGAGCTAGGCTTGACCATTGTCTATATTATAATAACTGTGATCATT